GATAGAGGGGTAGACACAAGGTAGATAGAGAGACGTGTGGGGCTAGATAGAAGGGTAGAGAGAGGGACAAGCAAGATAAACAGAGGGACATTCAGGGTAGATAGAGGGGTGGACACTGGGTAGATAGATATGCGGGTGTAGATACAGTGTAGATAGAAGGATGTGTGGGGATAGGTAGAGGGACATGTGGGGCTTGATAGAGGGGTAGACACGGGGTAGACAGAGACGTGTGGGGGGTAGATGGAAGGGTAGATAGAGGGGTAGACACAGGGTAGATAGAGGGATGCGCAGGGGTAGGTAGACAGAGGGACACGCGGGGGTAGATAGAGGGGTAGACAGAGGGACAGAGGTGTAAATAGAGTGACAGGTGTGGGGTACATAGGTAGAGAATTTCCTTGAAAGAATCAGGAATTCAGGGGTCCGTAGAAGGACCCTCGTAGGGAGGGGGTCTCAGGACTGTATTGGGAGCAGTCAATTCCCATGCTCCTTGGCCAAACAATGGATTGGGGGTCACCATGGGTTGCTGTGGGAAGAGGGGGGCTCTGCAGGGCCTGTGCCCCACTGCTTGTTGCGGTGTTGCTTCTGGCAGCTGGGAGTGGTGAGCGGCACCGGGCCCCCCGGCGGAAATGCCCTATCAGCTGCAGCTGCATCCAGGACAACGCACTATGTGACAGGACAGACGGGGTTCCCCGAGGACTGCCCCCTGACATCACCTCTCTGTAAGAGCCCCCAGCAGCATTCTGCCACCCCTGCCTCCCCGCTGTGCCCTGGATCTTGAAGGGGTTGTGCTTTCATTTGGTTCTAATTCAACGGGACTGGGTTTGTCGGGTTCACCAGAGCCAGTTCCATTGCTGTGCCTGGCTCTGGTCTGTTTGCCCGTGGAGACGACGGGAGGGAGGAAGGCTGGTGGGATGCTGATTCTGGTACTGGTGCCATTCCCTGGAAGTGTCTGTGCCACTTCAGTGTTTGCACTTCGATGGTAGGTCTGGTTCTCTCCGTGGCTCTGGTTTGACATTGGTGCTGGCTCTGGGTCTGGTTTTGGTTCTGGTTCTGGCAGCAGTTCTGGTCTATGCTGGTGCTGGTTCTGCTGTTGGTTCTGCTTTGATGTTTCTGACTGTTCTGGTTAAGGTGCTGGTGCTGGGCCATTCCCTGGCTCACTATAGGTCTGCACTGGGCCTTTGGACTGAGCTGGTTTTGGTGGGACACGGCTGGTGGCCAGGTTCACAGTGTCCCGTTGATAGGGGCTCTGGCACTGGTTCTGGTACCACTCATGCTGGGATGGTGGTGTTGACTCAGTACCAAGAAGCTCCTGGTTCTACCTTGCATCCCAGATTCCAAGACAGGAGGGAACTTGAACATCTCGTGGGCTTCCCAGGCCAGAGTATGGCCCCAAGCCACCACCAGAGCAGGGCTGTTTTGTTCTGCACTGTTCAGCCATGGCTTCCAGGTTGCCAGCGAGGAAGAATCCGGTGACCTGGGTTCATGGTTAGTGGGTCTCGCTGTTAGCAATATGTCACTTGTTTCCAGCCTGAATGTGTTTTGCTTCATTTTCCAGCTCTTGGGCCATATTTGATCTTCCTGGATGTTGCTAAGTGTCTCTAGCCAGGGATCATGTCCACTGGGCCTGCTCTGTGTTCAGCTACGTCGATGGAGACCTGCATTTTCTGAGCCTTTAATCCCCTCCTGGCTCTTCTCTGAGCCCTCCGCAATTTACCAACCTCTTTCTTGAACTGGCTGTGGGAGACCAGCGGATTCCCAAGGTGCCTCTGCCTGGCTCACACTGTTCATGTGCCCAGAGGCAGGGGTGAAAGTAACTTCACATTTCTTACAAGTCTTTTCCTATTGCAATCTGGGTCCTGCCAGCTCTTTCAATAGCTCCCTGCTGGCTTTTGCCACAGCTCAGCCAGCTGTGCACCAGAGCCACCCGTTTACTGTCACCTCTGCCCAGCGGTAAATGGTGCTCCTCACAGCAACTTGGAAAGAAACAGAACCATTCGTATGGGCCAGAGCCACCGCCTCACTCCTGTAAAGTAGCTGGGTGTGTGACAGCAGGCGTCTGTTGGGGCTCTGAAATGAGCCCACCTATCAGCCCCACTGTTCTGATGAATATGCCTCCCTGCTGGCTTCAGCTCAGGCCTCCAGGCTGCTTCTTGCCATGCTGCTGTTGAACCCAGGCTTGGCAGGAGGCTGTTGGTCGGGTCCGGTTCTAGGCTGGCTCTGAGTCACTCTGCGACTGCTGCAAAGCCGGTTCTGGTCTCACATTAGTGCCAGTTCTGCTCCTGATGGTGGTGCTGGTTCTGCTTGGAAGTTGGTGCTGGTTCTGGACTTGGCTCTGGAGCTGTGGGTGGAGTGGTGCTGGGTGCCATGCTGCACCCATGCTGGTGCTGACCGATAGCCCCCTCATATCCAATCTCCTCTCCCCAGATCCCTGGTGCGATCAGGATTCACTGAGCTGCGAGAGGGAAGTTTCCTGCAGACACCAACCCTGCAGCTGCTGTAAGGAGACCAATTCCCCACCACACTAGTGTTCAATGGGGCCATGTCTATGCAGAGGGAGTATAAGCGTGAAAATGTCTATGTGCATGGGAGGGGTGAGTGTGCAAATGGGGGTGTCAGCCAGCGCGTGCAGGGAAGCGAGTGTGCAAATGGAGGAGTGCTGCTCTAAGGGGTAGCTGGGAGGACCAGGCACACAGCATTGTCCCAGGAATGCTCACAGTCCTCAGCTGGGCCTGGGGGGCTATCCAGACACAGCGAAAGTTAGGCCAGGCCACACAGAGGTCACTATCTATAAGACACATGGGGAAGGGGAAACTGAGGCACAGAGCAGGGAAATGACTTGCCCAGATTTACCCAGCAGGTCTGTGGCAGAGCGAGGGAAGGAACCGAGTCCTGGCCTCTCTAGTCCGCACTTACTCTAACCATAAGGCCCCACTCCCCTCCTTGAGCAAGGGCAAGACTTTCCATGGGGAGCAGGGGCTGCAGAAGGATTGAGGGCATCAATAGCTCAGGCGACGAGGAGTCCTGTGGCACCTTATAGACTAACTGAAGTGTAGGAGCATAAGCTTTCGTGGGCAAAGACCCACTTCGTCAATAGCTCAGGTTCATGCTGTATGCTGATGCTCCCTCTCTCCCAGCTTATTTACAGCTAGCACCCTGGGGCTGATCCGAGATGACGCCTTCGTGGGACTCCTGCACCTGGAGTATCTGTGAGTGTGTGACGGGTGGGGTGGGTGTGCAAGAGGGGTTCAGCACAGGGACAGGAGTGGGAGAGGGGCAGGGTAAAGGGAGTGGCAAGGGAGTGAGGGGCACACCAGGGGAGACAGAGGGCACACAAGAGGGAGAGCATCAGGGGATAGGACTGTGGGAAGAGGGAAATGAGGAGGGGTGCGAGGGGCACATGGGTAGAGGAGAGCAGGGAGCGGAGTGGGGAGCAACCCACTGACAGCCCCCGCCCCCACTCCCTGCAGGTTCATCGAGAACAACAAGGTGGGCTCCATTTCCAAGAATGCGCTGCGGGGCCTCAAGGGGCTTGTGCATCTGTAAGTAACACACACAACCCCATGGTCCCTTGGCCTCCTGGCACCAAGAGACCCAGCAACCCCCTAACCTCCAGCACCAACAGACTTAGCAACCCCCTCCCCCGAACACCCAGCACCAAATGACCCAGCAACTCCCTAATCCCCAGCACCAACAGACCCGGCAACACTCCAACCTCCAGGACTGACAAACCTCGCAGCCCCCCAATATCCAGCACTGACAGACCCAGCAACACCCCCAACCCCCAGCACTGACAAACCCAGCAATCCCCCAAACTCCTAGAACCAACAGACCCAGCAACCCTCCAACCCCCAGCACTGACACACTCAGAAACTCCCCCTGAACCCCCAGCACTGACAGACCCAGCACCCCCCCAACCCCCAGCACTGACAAGCACCAGCGATTCCCCCCCACCCCTTCCTTAGCACTGACAGTCCCTGGTGACCGCATCCCCCTCAGTTTCCCAGCACTGCACCAACCTGTGATGCTCCCAAGCTCCCAGTACTGACATACTCTGGTCACCCCAGTACCCCACAACAGATTCTGTCTTCTCAGTGGGGTATCAGGGTTAGGTGTCAGGGCGCCTGGGGAGTTCTGTCAGTGTTGGAGCAAAGAGGTTAACTCTGACCCCCTTGGTCCCCCCTAACACTCCTCACTTCAACACTGACAGAACCCCCCAGGCACCCCAACACCTAGCCCTGGTGCCCCACTGCAATGGCATCAGATATCACAATCCCTTGGCACTGACACCTCCCCAGAGACCCTGACTTTATCCTGATGGAATCCCCAAGGGACCTCCTCACTTTTGTGAGCCCCCCCATGGTATAATACCCGATGGAACCCTCATCTCCCCACGTGCTGACAGCCCATCTCCCTTCCCCCACACTTGGACCCTTCTGAGGTCAGATGGGAGCAAGCATCTCCAGAGGGAAAAGGTCCTGATATGGGGCCCATGTCTAACATCCCTCCCGCAGGAGCCTGGCACACAACCAGCTGGAGACACTTCCACGGCACCTCTTCCGGGGCCTGGATGCCCTCACCCATGTGTGAGTTGGGGCAACAGTGGGAAAAGGGAAGTGGGAGTGGGGAAGGGCGGGGGCAGTGGTGGGACTGGGGGAGGAACTGGGGAAGGAGTGGGAGCAGCAGGAAGAATGGGGGTGGGAGTGGGGGAGGTGGGGGCAGCAGTGAGACACGGGGCAGGAGTTTAGGAGGGGAGAGCAGAGGTAGGTTGAAAAGAGAAGGAAGAAATGAGTGGGGAGGTGCAGTGGTGGGGTGGGGCAGAGAAGGGCCTTGCTGCCTGGCTCCGCCCCCTGCTCCATATGCCCCATTCTCACCACCAGGGACCTACGGGGGAACCCCTTCCACTGCGACTGCAGGATCAAGTGGTTGGTGGAGTGGCTGGACAGCACCAATGCCAGTGCAGAGCTGGGCGAGTGCCAGGGCCCCACTGAGCTCAACGGTACCCGACTGAGCCAGCTGCACCTCCAGGACTTCGACTGCATCACCACTGGTACGGGGCCAGCAAGCCACCCATTGATACTGATATCTTACTGTTCCCCAGCCGCCCCGCGCAGGACAAACCCACCTATCTGAAGGGAAAATGCTTCTTAGATCATGGCCCTCCCTGCATCTCAGCCCAATGTCTGGTGGGACTCAGCCCCAAGGTTCTGTCTCCAGACCTCGCAGGCCCATTGGTTAGTGTGGGCACTGGGGGAAGGGGGACTGGGAGCCATAATTCCTGGGTTCTATCCCTGGACCCAGGAGGAGAGGATGGCCTAGTGGTTACAGCGGGTGGCGGTGCGGGGCTAGAACTTCTGGATTCTATTGTCTCAAGGCTAGCATGGGAGGCCACGGTGAAGACAGAGCTGGGGATGATCCCAGTTGTCCAGCTGCCCTCCCATCTAACTTCTGCCTACCCCAGCGCTGGCACTGTTCCAGTCGCTGCCCTTCCAGGCCTTGTCGGTGGAGCCCTTCTGGTACCAGGGGGAGCAGCATGTGGCAATCGCCCAGCCTTTTGCAGGGCGCTGCAGCCTGCTGGAGTGGGACCACCTGGACGGGGCTTTCCGGGCCTATGCCTCCATCAATGGTGAGCAAGGGCCCATCCCCCCTGCACCGCACCTCACAACTAAGGATCCCCTACAGCCCTCCTGCGCTCCACCCACAGTGACTTCTATGATTAGTGATTGACAGATGGCTCCACCCCCACCTGCTGCTAGATATCCCCCTGCCCCCCATCTGCACCCTTGTCCCCAGCCAGCCTGTCTCCCAAAATCACTCCTCGCACTGCTCTTTGCAGACCATCAACCAGCTGCCCCCTTTCTCCCTGCAGGGCAGATCCCTGCTCCTCTTAACCCAGCTCTGCACCTCAGGGACAGCCTCTCACCCCCTGTCCCAGTGCAGCTTCCCTGAACCCTTCTCCCTTCCATGCTCAGTCAGGCCCCCCCATTTATCTTACTCTCTAACCTCCTTGGGCAGCCCTCTGATCCCTACCCCAGAAGATCCCCCCCCAATCCCTGCTCCCCGAAAACCCTCCAAACCCTGCCCGCATTGAACAGTCCCTCTACCCCTCAGGCTCATCGCCCGTGGCCTGCAAGCCCCTGGTAGTGGAGGGACGGCTGCTGGTGGTGCTGGCGCAGCTGGCTGGGGGCTCCCACGTGTGGCGCCGGGAGGAGGACACGGGGCACTTTGTGCGGCTGCAAGAGCTGGGCCCACAGCGCATCCGCAAGCCCAATGCACTGGCTAGCTTCCGGGTGGACGGCGACTGGTTCCTGGCCGTGGCTGACAGCTCCAAGGCAGGCGCCACCACACTATTCCGCTGGGGAGGGCGTGGCTTCTACGCCCACCAGGCCCTGCATGCCTGGCACCGTGATACCCACGTGGAGTTCCTAGAGCTAGCTGGGCGGCCCAGCCTCATCCTGGCCAGCAGCTCCCAGCGCCCTGTGGTCTACCAGTGGAGCCGGCCTGGCCGTGCCTTCCTGCGCCACACAGACATTCCCGACATGGACGATGTCTATGCTGTCAAGCACTTCCGCCTGCGTGGCGACGTCTACATCTGTCTGACCCGCTTTATCGGGGACTCCAAGGTTAGTGCTTGGCGCGTGTCCAGCCTGACCAGCACCACTGTGTGCCCAGCATGTGCCTGGTCTGCACCTCCTGTTCCCAGCATGCCCTGTGCCCAGTCCATCCCGAGGCCAATATGTGCCCAGCCTGCTCTGGGCCCAGCATGCACCTCCTGATCCTGCCCAGCATGTCCCCAGTGTGCCCTGCACCCAATGTGCACCCCTTGTTCCCAGTTTGCCCAATGTGCACTCCCTGTTCCCAGCATGCCCCATCTGCCTTGCACCCAACATGTGACCTCTGTTCCCAGTGTGCCCAGCAAGCACTACCAGTTCCCAGCATGCCCTACACCCAGCGTGTGCCCTCTGTTCCCAGTGTGCCCAGCATGCCCTTTGCGAGTGCTGGTGCCGGGCATGCACCCCACTCCCAGCATACTCTGCTCCCAGTACTCTCCCACCGATCCAAGCATGCTGTACTCCCATCCTGCTCTTTGTTTCTGCCCCCACAGTGCTCCCATCAAGCTCTGCTTTCACTTAGACACTCCCATCATGCTCTTCTCTCAACATCTCTGTTCTTCTCTGCCTCCAGTCTGCCATTACCCAAGAGCCTCTGTGCTTTGCTGGCAGTTCTGGCATAACCCACAATCCTATCTGCTCCTCAGGTGATGCGTTGGGAGGGCTCCATGTTCCGCGATGTCCAGCACATGCCGTCACGTGGCTCCATGGTCTTCCAGCCACTGGGCATTGGGAGCCACCGCTATGCTGTGCTGGGCAATGACTACTCCTTCAGCCAGGTGTATCGCTACGATGCGCGTTCCGGCCTCTTTGTGCACCTCCAGGAGCTGAACACCCAGGCACCGCGCTCCTTCGCCCATCTGGCCATCCACCAGCGGGATTTCGTCTTCGCTGCCAGCTTCAAGGGAGACACGCAGATCTACCGGCACATCACTATTGACCTGAGTGCCTGAGCATCGCGCGAGGGCAAAGGGGGCTGCAGACAAGGGGGATGGAGTACCAGCCATGGCCACTGGGGGTCCAGAAGGGGACATAGCCAAGGGGGACGTAGCACTGGCCATGGCCACTGGGGGCCCAGAAGGGAACGTAGCCAAGGGGGGGCAGAGTACCAGCCATGGCCACTAGGGGCCCAGAACCGGACACAGACCATAGGACGAGGAGGGCGCAGAGCCAGCAATGGCCACCAGGCGGGACTTTTAATCCTATTTTGACCCCCCCCTTTAAAATGGCGTTTGGCGCGGTTAAGAACCGTTCCCCGGTACAGCTGTCAAAGTGTATTTAATGGACTCTCTGTTTCACCCCTTTCCAAAGGTTTTGCTTAAGCTCCGGCGCCTGTGGCCCGTTCAGCGCCCTTTCCATTTCACAAGCTTTGTAATCAAACTTTTCTTCATTTAAAAGACTCCTTAAAAACCACTAATGTCCATGCAGGGCCCGGGCTTCAGACCCAGGAGTCACTTCCCAGGGGCCTCAGGAAACCCCTTTGCTGCCCTTCCCTGCCTTTCACTCTGGAAAGCAATCCTTTCGTTCATGACCCATCACCCATCTCTCCAGTGCCCACACGCTCGGCGTCAGGCTCCTGGCCCGTTTCCAGTGCAGTTAACTGCGTTTACGCTGGAGCCCCTCCTGCCCGTGGCTTGTTCGGTCGCCTCACTCAGCGCCTCTGGGCCCTGCCATTGCTTCCCCTTTTTACAAAACAGGAAGGAGACGGCCTGGGTGCGGCTCAGGGGCCGGCAGGCAAAGGCCGCTTTCTTTACCTTTGCCCTGTTATGGCGCAACTGCATTTCCTGTTGCCTAACGAATCACTCCTTGGCTTGGAAATAAAAGTGAGACCAAGGCCCACACCCAGGGATTCTTAGCTGCTGGCCGCCTCCTGGAGAAGTGGGGAGAGAGCAGGCTAATCGGCTAGCAGGGCTGGGGAGGAGGAGACGGGATGCTGGTCTCAGGGTGGGGGGGAGGAAGGCGCATGGGGAGGGACTGGTAGGAGGGGACACTGCCGGAGAGTCTGGTGGGAGGGGACAGGACAGCTGGGGAGAGAGGAGTCTAAGGGGACACTCTGGGGTGGGGTAACAACACTTGATAGCCCGATGGGCACTGATGGGCTGGTGAATTTTAACTCTGGCCTCCCCTGGTAGTCAATATCCAGCAGTTGCATGCACCCCCTCCCCTGCCCCCCTCCTGTCCCCTGGGAGCAGCAGGGAGCCTAAGCCAGCTTGCCCACCTTGCACTGAGGGGTGCAAAGGTGGGAGGCAGCTGCTGAAAAATCTGCCTGGCACTTTCCTCTGCCCCCCCCCCTCCCCTCCAGCCAGAGCCCTGTAAGTAACACAGCATGGGATGGGGAGGCAGCTAGGCCTCTGGGGTTCTTCCTCCAGCTCTGGGAGGGAGGGAGTGGGGGGAGGGGTCAGCAGTTAGAGCAAGTCAGGGCTGGAGCCAGAACTCCTGGGTTCTACCCCTGGCACTGGGAGAGGAGCAGGGGAAGCTAGGACTACTGGGACTGAGGGATTGAGCAGATGCAATGCTGAGCATCACAGCACAGACCTGGCCAGCACCCTCCTACCCCAGAGTACCCAGAGCCAGCAAGCTGAGGAGGGAGGAGATTAAAGTAGCCCATAGGAAGCACTGAAGAGTGGGGAGCAGACTGCCTGGGTGCTGTTGGCTGCTGCCCAAGAACTGTTTGCCCCTTCCCACGGCAGCCTAGTCCCCCAGCATTCTGCTCCCCCCTGTTCAGAGGATGGAGAAATCGCCTTCTCGTGAAGTAGGGGATGCTTGGTGAGACCCCAGAATTTCCATGTGACTTCTGGCCTTTCAGCCCGTCCCATTCACCCCACCCTGCAGGGCTCCCGGCCCTTCCACCCCAAGATAACTGCATAATAGAGAAGGAAACTGAGGCATATATGGGCTCCCTATGGTTCCAAAACATTCCCAGTGGCCCAGCGACTCTGCCAGGATTTGGGCTGTGGAGTGGCCCGTGCAAGTCCAGCCATGCTGGCCTGATGCCGCACAGTGGGGTGGGGGAGGACAGGACCTCTTGGGGTCTTTGAACCATCGTTTCAAGGACTTCAATATCTGAGATATAGGCGAGAGGATTATTCTAGGTGAGATTCTGTGGCCTGCATTGTGCAGGGGGTCAGACTAGATGATCGAAATGGTCCCTTCTGACCTTAAAGTCTATGGCTTTTGCGGAAAAACTTGCCAGCTGTCTACATTGGCCGCTTGAATTTGTGCAAGAATACTGATGATCTAATGTAAGTTTGTCAGTGTTCTTGCGCAAATACTATGCTGCTCCCGTTCGGGAAAAAACCCTCTTGCACAAATGTATTTGTGCAAGAGGGCCAGTGTAGACAGCTAAAAACTGTTTTATGCAAAAAAGCCCCGATAGTGAAAATAGCGATCAGGCCTCTCTTGTGCAAAACCATGTCTAGATTGGCACAGATGCTTTTCCGCAAAAAGTGCTTTTGAGGAAAAGTGTCCATGCCAATCTAGACGCTCTTTTCCGCAAATGCTTTTAACAGAAAAACTTTTCCGTTAAAAGCATTTGCGGAAAATCATGCCAGTCTAGACGTAGCCTGAGTCTATGAGGACCTGGCTTCCCCCTTGAATCCCATGGGTACAGCAGGTGGGTGGGCCAGGGGAGAGCAGGGTCCGTGCCCCCACCACAAGCTGGGGAGAAAGGACTTGCATGAGTGCTACCCAGCTATCCACTGAGCACCCAGCTGCCACATCTGCGTGGGGCAGGCCTGGCTCAGTGGCTATCTCTGCTGCCAGAGGAGCTACAAGGGCAGGTGAACCCAGCCTGCCCGGGGAACCAGAGCCCCAGGTTTGGGGCAGCCATGGCCCACAGCGCCAGGTGAGCTAGCCCAAAGATGCCCGCGCTCTCCTGATGGAACTGCTCCTGGCCAGTGAGACACCGCTGCCAGGAGACAGCAAGGAGAGACCTGGAGACTGGGCTCCCCTCTGCAGCCCATCTCCCCTGCGGCATGGGGGCCAGGATTGAAGCCAGGGTGCTCAGAGCCAACGGAAAGCCCTGTGACAGAACTGCCCACTTGACCCAGAGAAAGCCAGTGTGCACGAGGGCCCAGATGGGGGCAGGAGTTGGCACTGAGCAGCTGGGTGGGAGTCTCTCTTGGCCATTGAAAAGACTGCTTGTCCCACCCCAGCTAGCCAGTCCCTGCCCTGGGGCCAGACGGGAGCCAGTACCCCCCATAGGGGACAGGCCTAGGGCTGACACAGAGTTTCAAGGTCAGAAACGTTTTTAATGGAACTTGTGACTGTGCAGAATAGACTCCGGCACTTTCCCAGATGGGCAGTGGCAGCGATGGGGGCAGCCCTGGCCACACCTGGCACCAGCACCATCCTGGCTCAGCAGTTACTAGCGCTGCCTGTGGAGAGATGGGGGGAGAAAGAGACCCACTTACAAAGCAGCCATGGGAGCCGGTGATGGGAGGGAGAGGGGTGGAAGAGTCCTAAGAGTCTAACCCACCAGCAGTCATTAGGGGGCCCCGCTAGGGTTGGGATGACAAGCTTAGAGCCTCACCCCAGAGTCCAAAGACATCCCCCCTGCTGGCCAGGAAGTGGGGAAGGGTTGGGTGACTTACCAGGCGCGATGAGGTGGGGGGACTCAGTCGGACGCCGGCTGAGGCGGGAGAGAAGGGGTTATAGGCATGGGGAACATGACTCCCCCTTCCAAAGTCATGAC